GCGGCGCGGCAGGCGGCGCATGCTTTCCAACTCCCGTCACGAGTCCCTCGCCATTGGAATCGTCTGCAAAAAACGTTTCTGAGCGTTCTCTGTCGGTCTGCGCCCGAAGAGCGCGGTAGGTGTTTCCCTTGATTCTGACAGCGGTTTCCATTACTGGGGCAAGGGTTCGCCGATACAGTGTCACGAATTTCGACAGTGTCTTTTCCGTGATTGCTCGCGCTGACACAGCTCCGGTTACGGAACAACATTACTCGGGTTTACACTTTTTATAACCAAGTGAACCACTGTTCACGTCCCCAAATGGCTACCTCTGTGTCCCCCACTAAAGACTTGCGGACTGTCTGGCGCTGGGCGAGCTTTATGGATCCGTGCGCCCGCCAATTTCACTTCGGCGCACGGGATCCATAGCTGCCAGCGCTGCATTACTGTCGTAGGACGTCTCCCGCCCGGTCGCGTGCCGCCTTGCCACGGAACTGCGCGGCAAAGATGCTCAGCACTTCCAGCGCTTCGGAATCAACAATCTCTTCGGCAACGCTCTCTCGAGTATCCGTCTCATCTGGGTTGCTCCCCAAAGAAATATCTCCACAATCTTCTATTTTCAAGTCACATAATAATATTTATGATCAGAAAAACACCCAAAACAGTGGGCGCTAGCCAGGATTTTTTTAAACAGGGGGGCCAAAAACAGCAAACTACGCAAAATAGGTGGATGACTTCACTCTCTTTACTGAGCTCCTCCGCTCCCTCTCCACACCTACCGCCTCTACCCTCTTCAGCTCTGCAATCTTTGTTTGCTTCCACGCGACATTTTTGTTCATTCTTCTCCTGCGCCCAAGATATGTAATTGTTTAGTGGTGGGTCTTAGGATTCCAAGGCAGGGGGGTGAAAAAAAGTGGCCGGAGGGGGTATGGGGTCCTACCCCAGAAATTTTTGGCAAAACTCTGTGGTTCGCTGGTTCCAAATCGAGTTCACCTCCGCATAAATAGAGAACCTGACATATTACTAGTGTTGGAGAATAGCAGCTGCGTTAGCCTGGGTCCACCATATTTTTATGTTATTCACGATTTAATTTCACGATTAGATTTCTTGAGAGCTAGAAAACCTCTTGAAATTTGACAGTGATGAACTGTAACATTCATTGTGCCAGCTAGCCTACACTAATTGGTTGGGATTGATTGTTCAGTTATAGATGCAAAACATTGAACAAGCAAAGGCTTAAGAGTACCGAAGTGATTGACGTCACAGTGGCATGACAACGAGCCCTGCTGGTTCTACAAATCATAATGCCTCTGGTAACATTAACTCGCGTGTCGTGTTTTTGTCACCCGATTGTAACTCCCATCATCTGAGGAGAAAGTCATTATTGCCGCAGTTTGTTATAGAGTTTCCAAAGGATGAAGTGAAAAGCAACCAAGCGCGGGAAACAAAATTAAAAAAAAAAAAATATTATTAACAAACAAAACAAATTTTCTTTCCTTAATTTTTTTTTTTTTTTATCATTCAATACTCTGTACACGACTTGCTACCAGCAATTACCGCTGGTCTTGCAGCGCACACACTCGGAGTTTTACGTACGCACAACATCTCTTTCATGCTTGGGCCTACATATGAGCAGTCGGTTGCTCGTAGCACACCAGCCCCGTTACGTTGTCTCGCAAGCGTGACGATCACACTTCGGTACTCTATGAGCGCTCACCGAAGTTGGATCGCGTCACCAGGTGGCGCATCCGACACCGAGCTCTCTCTCCTCACAAATCATTATGCCTCTCCCTGGTTAACAGTTAACCTGCGGTTGTCCTCTGTTTTGTTACCCGATTCGGCTTAAACCATTGCATTGCTGAGGGTCATCTATTGCAGATTTTATCAGATTTCCACAAGGATGAAATGAAGTGGTTAAACAAGCAACGGAAAAGAAAAACAACAAGTTTTTTTTCTTTATTAATTAATTTTTTTTCTTTGAAATTCTCTAAATATTTTGTAAGATCGGACTTTGCGCTGACGATCGCTTTTGACTTGGCCCGCTGCTCGTGCAGCGCAGCACACTCGTGTTTTTACGTCACGCCACAACATTTTCGACGCAAGTTATAGTTGTACTCGACCTCAGGGCGCTTGTGTAGAACCAGCCCGTGGTTGTCTGCCAACGCTTGACGTCACACTTCGCGTACTCTACTACACCATAGACTCTCCTCGCACCCCGTCACACAGCGTATATAAGATAGCCGAGTCTGCGTTTAGAGTTAGGGACTAGGGATAGGGTCTCTTTGGCTCTCTCACACACTGTCTCATAGCACTGGTTAGGATTGTCCGGGCCCGCAAAATTCTGCGTTGTCCTCCGTCGACAGACCGTCAACGCGTTATTTCGAGCACTGCCAACTTGCATCATATGTACTAACTATTATTATATATTCATGTCTCATATGCATGATTAATATGGCAGTTGGATTTTATGCCCCACATATAAGCTTCACAAGCCGAGGGATAGCTTTGTACTCATGCACTGATGCAGGCTCTCTGCATGGCCTGCGGCCCGCAACGCGGGCAGAACCTAGCCGGACGTCACAGGCGCGTTTTCCATCCTTGGGCTGGCCGGTTTGGCAGATAAATTGGATTATTCAACATCATAGACCCCAACATCAAGTACTGTTTTTAAATATCACAGAGGGCCAACCACAAGAAATATACAATGCTGGCGTTAATTTACGTCGTGATACTTAGCTTCAAAATAATTGTAAAAAATTTTGACAAGTTTTAGAGATATCACTAAAAAGAAAGGCCTTCTAAGGAGCGTAACCTTGGCTACAACAAAAGCATCTGCCTTCCTGCAATGGGAATGCTTGCAACTGTAGGCTCACATCAGCCTAATAGCAAAAGCAGTTCAGTCCTTTTTGGTTAACACTCACACTCACTGTTTAACCCCTCCTCCTCTCTGGTCCACACAAGGTCTATCCGACAGCTTACTCTTCCGTTCGCCATGCCAGCAGAATGTACCATTGTCATGGTCTTTTCAATAAAAGCCATTAAAAATGGTTAGGTCACCGTGCTGAAACAAAAAAAGTTTTTCAATCGCCTCGTCACTGTCCTTCCCCAGAAAAAAATCTGGTTTAGAAAATCTGCCCTGCTGCCCCATTGACCTTGGACCTGTAACCTCCTCGCACAGTGGATTGGCTTTCTTACCATGCATGCTTATACTACCGCCTACCTCACCACCAGAGCCTAGTGTTGAGCCCGTTTAGATTTGTTGCCGCCAATTCTTGTCATTTCCTGCCTATACTTAAGTTATAGGAGGCGACATGTTCCCACTTCTTTTCACCTACCTCTTGACGCCTTCTTGAACCTCTCTTGACCGCCCAGCCTTGACCTCCCACTCCGTTTGCGACTCCTCCCCCAACGTCCCGTAGATATTGTGACGCTCACGTCGAGCCCGCGTTCTATTAAGGTTGTCTGCTCCAAACTGTTGCCCACGCCGTCACGGTAACGGGCCCTGCAGCTCCACGGCCACTTCCCCCCGCACCCCACCCCCCACGATCATGCCCCGACGATTCTACAAGCGGGCCATCAGACCTATCGTCAGATGCAGCTAATAACATACATGATTCAGAACCTTGCATGGGGGAAAATAATATTGTACCGTACAACAGTACATGATCAAAATTTCAATTTAAAAGGTTCCTCCAACATTTTCTCCACCCTCTAAACATTCTGCGTAATTATGCTTATATTAAGAGGCGGCCTTTTCAGTTTCCATGGTATAAAATTTTCCAAGTTTCATAAACAATACTTTATAAAACAATCCTTAAACGTGTCTCTAATTGGACCCCAGTAAATTTGACTGATTAACAAGCGCACTTGGGCATCCTACTGATATTACACGACCACCCATAACTGCACAGGTGTTCTACAACTCCGGGTTCCGTAACACACTTCTTAGGCTTACCTCAAGGACACTGACCAGAATTTCACCATCCTTATTATCCTCGAACAAGACCGATAAGCATTCACGCTATGGCAGAGAAATATGCCCAACCACTTTCTGTTCATCCGCCTATGCTGCCCCACGGCGATTTTCTCCTGCAGGCAGTTATTAAAACACAAAACAAAGCATTGGCAAACAGCTGAACAATTCAATCTCACCATATAGAAAGCCCAGTAGCTTCCGCAAATTACATTTGAAATGCTTAAAAATATTGCTGGGCACGGCGTTCACTCCCTCGACGAAACTATCTCCGCCTTCGCTACCTATTCCGACGAGAAGTCTTACGAACGTCTGGCCTCCTTGGAGAGCCTTTTCCTTCGTACTGGACGTACGGGTTCGCGAAACGCATCCGCCGATCGCGCCGCGTCCCACAGCGTCAGGTACTGACCGTAGTTGTGTTTGTTAATAGACGTAGCGTGGTCACCGGTGCATGCGCCGGAGCCGTTGACGACCGACTGCAGCAACCTTCGGCCACGCTGGAAGTCGTCCCGTACGTGTATCAGAGACGGTCCCACAGGGTCCTCGACGCTCCAGCGGATAGTAAGAGAAGAGGTCAGGTTGGCGGCGCCTACTAATAAACACGATTGAGCGTCGGCATCCGCATATCGACTGCACATTGTATTGTGTCGTGCAACGCTAACATGTTTGTACGTCGTTAAATAAAGTCTTGGTTTATTACTACTGGTAGTATGGGTACCGTCCCGCTGCTCTGCCTTTCTCTCTGGCTAGTCTTCTCTGGGGGAAGTTCAGCAGATAGACTG